GCACGCTCGAGGAAATGTAATTCTGTTTTTAGTTATAGAGTGCAAAGGGTTGAAGGCGCAGCTCGACAGTTAGTGAGCTCTCGAAATTAGCAACGATAATTAATTTTATATTTAAAAAGAGATTCGTGTCGACGGGAAATTTTGAATCTCGTGTTACTAGTTTACTAATTTCGCGTAGCGTTTAGAGAAGCAAGTTCTCGACCGTGGCACCGAAACAGGACTCTGCCTCCTTTCTCACGGCATACTTAAATCGTATCCACGTAAAACAAGCCTGATTCTGTGCAAGCGAGGCAGTTTACCCGACGTGCCGCGAAGAGATTCAATGAAAAGCAGCGTTACACGTTTCACCGAGGAATGCTAAGGGCTTACGGCATCAAGAAATTTCATAAGAACGAACGAACCGGTTTGGTTCTCGAATTACTCGCGATGTCTGTCCCGCGAAAGGAATCCACGAAGGTCTGTTAAAAGTGTCAAATATCGAGGAGGAAGACGATATTCCGCGGAAACCATAAACACTCCTGGACCTGCGTGGAAACGACGCCAAAAACCATACAATTTTACCACGTCTCCGCCATATACAGGGTTTTAAAAACTTTTAAAAACTAAAACAAGCTCGAAGCAAAGATTTAAAGTAAAATTATATAGGAAATGACTGATCCAAGTGTTCTCCGTAAATAAAATTCTATCGAGACGACTATTATTAGGTGCGTGGTATTATTTTTTAATTTATCTGGACAACTCTCAGCGAACTAACGTTTATTTGCCCCCTTTTGTACACCCTCTGTTATATTTTTCTAAATAATTGGGACACCGAAAGAACGAACGTTAATTAACAGAAGTTTTCGTGTCTTCTGCACCTTTGACACAAATGTTTCCACGTTGAATTCCATTTTTGGACCCCCGTGCGTTTCCTATTAATTTCTCCGTTCCTTTTGTAAACAATTCCCCGTAAAAATCACATCGTTCCGCGTTCGTAATGGCAAATGTCAGCACTTTGTGAAAATAGCAGAAAAAATGTCGCGCTATCGGTGACATACAATTGTCTCGCCTTTAACCCTGCGATGCTATCATAAACAAGGAAAATTTGAATTTAAAATTCTCGTAGAAATGTGTTGCTTCGACTATATAAACAAATACACATTACTTATGTATTAGATCAGTGATGATAATAAAATATATTTTACACAGAAAGAAAGCTTCTGATTTGCTCGAATCTCAAACACGTGGTTGAACGGTCACGTTTTGACCCCGTAAGAAACTTTATTTTCACAAGCTGAAGAATTCTATGAGAAAAAATAGCACTTTGGCACGAGCAAAGTTTAAATAACAGTCGTATCAGTCGTTCAACGCGTGAAAAATCTCCGAGCACGTGAACTTCGATGAACTCAGATTGGACTTATCGACGCGACGATTTCCTGGAAGTATTGCGCGTAACTCGACAGTGGACTGACGATAAGAAACCGCGGTACCGATAAACCGACGTCTTTCAGCCTCCTTGGGAGCATGACACGAGCCAGAGACGTTGCTGAAATAATTCAGGACTCCCGAGGCGATCGGGCTTCTCCCTGGCGAACATTCTTCGGGGATCTACGAAAATACGATTCCCGGCAAATGTCTACCTCGTTACCGGCTCGCTATAAATAGACCCAAACGGCCTTGGTCAACCTTCTTCGAGTTCGTCGACATCACCGACCGGTACCCTACTCAGCCACCAACAGATATACTCGACAGCTGGAGAGAATGTCTCCGGGTTGGGCTCAGATTTACCGATCGGAACATTTGGGGAAAGATTCATCTACGCTTCGTCGACGTATCTTGCAAGATACGAAGACTATACGGTGCTATGTCAGTCACTGACACGTGTTTTATGTGTCAAAGTTCTGATTTATAAGAGACAATTACTCTCGTAGCGTATTAGCTGGAGTTAATGAAAACAAAGATGTAGACTTGTTGCAAAATTAGTCCAAGAAATGATCGATAAATTCAAGTTTAACACATGACACTTCGACTCAATGCTGATGAAGATGGAGACGAGGTATAGCGAGGATTCATTTACTCTTCGTCGAGATATCTTGCAAGATACCTTGACTATACAGTAGCATGACACAGTACTGATTTCTAAGAGCTATTTACTGTCGTAACGTATTAGCTGCAGTTGATAGGAAGCAATTGAAAACAGAGAAATTCTCTAAATTGAAATAGTGTTTACTTCATAGATACGATGTAGACTTGTTGCAAAATTAGTCCAAGAAATGATCGATAAATTCAAGTTTAACCCTGACACTTCGACTCAATGCTGATGAAGATGGAGACGAGGTATAGCGAAGATTCATTTACTCTTCGTCGAGATATCTTGCAAGATACCTTGACTATACAGTAGCATGACACAGTACTGATTTCTAAGAGCTATTTACTGTCGTAACGTATTAGCTGCAGTTGATAGGAAGCAATTGAAAACAGAGAAATTCTCTAAATTGAAATAGTGTTTACTTTATGGATACGATGTAGACTTGTTGCAAAATTAGTCCAAGAAATGATCGATAAATTCAAGTTTAACACATGACACTTCGACTCAATGCTGATGAAGATGGAGACGAGGTATAGCGAAGATTCATTTACTCTTCGTCGAGATATCTTGCAAGATACCTTGACTATACAGTAGCATGACACAGTACTGATTTCTAAGAGCTATTTACTGTCGTAACGTATTAGCTGCAGTTGATAGGAAGCAATTGAAAACAGAGAAATTCTCTAAATTGAAATAGTGTTTACTTTATAGATACGATGTAGACTTGTTGCAAAATTAGTCCAAGAAATGATCGATAAATTCAAGTTTAACACATGACACTTCGACTCAATGCTGATGAGGATGGAGACGAGGTATAGCGAAGATTCATTTACTCTTCGTCGAGATATCTTGCAAGATACCTTGACTATACAGTAGCATGACACAGTACTGATTTCTAAGAGCTATTTACTGTCGTAACGTATTAGCTGCAGTTGATAGGAAGCAATTGAAAACAGAGAAATTCTCTAAATTGAAATAGTGTTTACTTTATAGATACGATGTAGACTTGTTGCAAAATTAGTCCAAGAAATGATCGATAAATTCAAGTTTAACACATGACACTTCGACTCAATGCTGATGAAGATGGAGACGAGGTATAGCGAAGATTCATTTACTCTTCGTCGAGATATCTTGCAAGATACCTTGACTATACAGTAGCATGACACAGTACTGATTTCTAAGAGCTATTTACTGTCGTAACGTATTAGCTGCAGTTGATAGGAAGCAATTGAAAACAGAGAAATTCTCTAAATTGAAATAGTGTTTACTTTATAGATACGATGTAGACATGTTGCAAAATTAGTCCAAGAAATGATCGATAAATTCAAGTTTAACACATGACACTTCGACTCAATGCTGATGAAGATGGGGTATAGTGATGTGTCTGTTAGACAATTGCTAAGCTATAAATAATCAGTTACGACACCTTGAGAAAACAATGTGAGTGCCTTATCAGTCGAAGGTCGAGTCATAAAAATCATCGTAACGACTGAATATTCGATGTTTTATACGAGAATCGATGTTCAGGGACGCGTATTAAAGTACAATTACGCGTAATGCTACTCCATCTTCCGAGAAATTAAATGCAAATAGCATGATACTTCAATACTGTCGTATACGTTTCGATAGATTGAATAAAAAACTATTTTGTTGCGCGAAAACTTGAAAAATGAACGTGTCTCGATACTGCAATTTTATTTATTACTTTATCGTTCAAAGTTACACGTTCTTTTCAACTTTGCATTCTGGAAAACTCAACCAAGATTTTAAATATAAAATATAAGAAACCTTTCCTCCATTTCGAATATATGAAAATTGATTCTGATAAGACTTCTCTGTCCTTGGAGGATAGAATAACTACGATTGTAACATTTACGGATTATTTACGCGATTAATGTAGGCAAAAATGCGCTACGTAGGAGAATTTTTGAAATATTTAAAATCCAGCATTTTTCGAAGCACGCATAACTCGACAAACATGGTATTTTAGCGATAGAGATTAAATGGTAGTATAGTGTGCACAAGCTCTTGAAGCGTTGGGTCCCATACTAAACGATAAAATCACTCTAAAAGCTTCGTTCTTCGTAAATCCACTGGATTAAATTATCTGCTCCAAAATATTCGTTCGTAAAGAGTCGAAGAATTTTTTTCAATAAACTTCCTATGAACTCGTTATTAGGAATCAATAAAAATCTCTAACACGTGATCGATTCTTTACATTCAAATATAAGTTATTTTCCAACGTGTTGGATCGATGAATGATGCGGTGCTTTAATACTCAATGCACAGTGACTAGAACAAAAAAATGAATACTATTTTTAGAATTTAAATTAACTAGAAATGAGTAGTTTCTAACTAATAGCAAAAATACATTCGGTGAATGATGTTTCACGTTTGACTCGTCGCATTCCCATTGTGTGTTTCACGTGGAAAAAAACCACGTGGTCGTTCCAAGGTGACGATCTATTCTACGAGACGATGTTTTTTCAAAAAAAGAAACACTGAATATCGTCGCTCCTATTCGTAACGAAATTATGGCATGAAAAATCTGATCGTCGGGCGTTACGAAGCCTATCCGTCGATTCAAATTGCGCAACGGAGATAAAAGTGAAATTACCCGCGTCGTCTCTCGTCGAACAATCAATTTTTCCTGCGGAATCGCATTCACGAACCGATAGAAAACACAGTGGAAAAAAAAAAAAAACGAAACAGGAAAAGGATCGATCGATTTCTGTGGCAGCTTCCGATCGAAAGACACGCGATCGATGGACGTGTTTTCAATTCCCCCCGACGGAATCGGGCACAATGACGCAAGGGCATCGTCCTCGACGCCGGGAATACCCTCCGCGAGTCGAACTCATTAACGACGCATAGAACGGGCGGTAAAAAGAAGCAGATGCTCGCAAACGACGATATAAGAAACGTCTCTTACCTAATATCACAGTACTCTTCAATCCACTCCTTCCTATCGCAGCCTTTCGATTCTCCGATCAAACGAAGGCTTTAATTAACTGCACGTATTCGACACTGCCAATTATCATCCACCGGTCGCGTTTTCACTCCGCGGAACACAGCTACGCGTTATCGAACCGTCGACACTCTCACACACATACACACACCAGAGGGACGAGGGGCTCACTTGAATATTTCCACGATTTTCACGAACCCTCAGCTACGCATCGCGACTTCGTCGATCGAGCTTTTCGGTGCGTTTTTTTTCGTCAACGCAGAATAACTTGCTCACTGAACACGCACGGACATCGAGTAGCTCGTAACGCACCAGCGTGGACGTCGATCTTGTACAAGTTGGCAGTGATGGGTTGCTGCGAACACGTGCGTCTCGAGGTACGGAGAAGGATTATCGATAGGAATTAACGACCACTCGGGACGAGCGTGATCGACTTTGTTTAGCGTCGTTTGACGACAAGGTCGCGAGGACCGCACGATAGATCCTCTAATATCGAAATTCGAGGGAACACGTCGAGGTGGTAGGTGGCAGGTGCAAGGTCGTCGATGTCTTGCCGTTTCGAATACTCGAGGAATACCTGTATCGTCGTCAGTGGCTCCCGTCCACGCCGCGAGCAGGTCTTTCGGAAACCTTTCGATGTTCGGGGACGGATGGGGCTCCTGAAGACCTCCGCGTGTCACGAACCTTTTCGGAGCAGCGTTTCTTTCGTAACGTGGTTCTCTTGGTCGGGGCGCACAGCGACAGAGAGAATCGTTCGCGGGCCGGAAGCACGCGGGTCTTTGTTCCTCTTTGCCAACAAAGAAAACGACGATACTGAACGACACACTCGCGCGCGCGATCGCGTCCGCCGGAGCACTGACACGACTCAGGATTCCACGAGTGACTGGGGGCCGCTCGCACGACTCGAGTCGAACGACTCCGCTCCACGGGCGCCGCGACTCGTGCCCGCCGAGCGCGCCCGAACCGACACGAACCTATTCTTCGGGAAACCGCTGGCCCGCAGCCGCGCGCATTACGACTCCGACCGTCCGCCGCGACGGTACGCGCACGGCCTCGCCTTCCACCAACCAGCAACGGTACGTACGATAGTACCTCGGTCATTGCAGGGAAATCGGAACTCCAACAACCAAAGTGACCCATACGATGAGTAGCCACGCCACACACCATGTTCTTATTATAAATAATTTTCTGTGTTAAAAATTGGGTACAAATCGCAAGTGTATTTAATAATCTAATATCCTTTTATCTAATTTCGTTCATATACAGGGTGGTCACTCCTTAGGAAAAATCAGAAATACCAATTTGTTGATCGAGGCTTCGTTAAAAATTTCTAATCATTCAAATCGTTATAAAAAAATTATTTTCAATCGCAGGGGCCAATTACAACCATTTTTTTGTGAATAGACATACCCTTGAAATCCTACCCACTTTTGAGAAAAAAATTCGCGTAGGTGTGAAATTTTTCGACAAAATTAAAAATTTTCGAATAGTTCTAAAAAAATTATTTTTGGTTGCAAGGGTCAATTACAATCACTTTTGGTCAATAGACATAATCCCGAAATCCTACTAACTTACGAGAAAAAAAATCGAGTAGATGCTTAAATTTGGCAAAATTTAAAAATTTCAAATCGTTCTAAAAAAATTATTTTTCGTTGCAAGGGTCAATTACAATCATTTTTGGTCAATAGACATAATCCCGAAATCCTATTAACTTACGAGAAAAAAAATCGAGTAGATGCTTAAATTTGGCAAAATTAAAAAATTTCAAATCGTTCTAAAAAAATTATTTTTCGTTGCAAGGGTCAATTACAATCATTTTTGGTCAATAGACATAATCCCGAAATCCTACTAACTTACGAGAAAAAAAATCGAGTAGATGCTTAAATTTGGCAAAATTAAAAAATTTCAAATCGTTCTAAAAAAATTATTTTTAGTTGCTGGGGACAACTACGATCATTTTTGGTGAGTAGACACACCCCTGAAATCCTACGCAGTTTCGAGATAAAAATTCAAGTAGGTCGAGAAATATTTCGACAAAATTAAACAATTTTAAATGTAAAAAACGTTGAAAAAAAGTCATTTATGGTAGAGCAAGTAAGTTTGACCAATTCCTTGTGTCTAGAAAGTCTAAAAAAATCAACTATGATTGCTTTTCAAGCGATGAGTATGAAAGGTCAAAATCAAGGAATTATTTCCCTAGTCATAGATTTATAATTATGTAATTCAAATCCATCGTAGAATAGAACAATTCTTACAAGCCTCCAGAGATCAATACTACTTCCGTAGTAGTAAAAGATTGCAACAATAAATCAAATTTCTTGACATTGAAGGCACAAAATATAATTCTAAGATTTCTAAAATTTCTGACCAAACTTTCCCAGTAATTATGCTAATTGCCCTACGATGAAGCAATACAAACGTAGATTTGGTTTAGAAATGTATTCTTGCGAAAGTGTAGCCTCTTGAAGAGAGAAATTTCGATCGTCAAACATGGTCGAAAATTTCTGATTAATCTGTTCTATTTTACGATTTCTATTTCTAATCCATGTGACTCTCTTACAGCTAACGTTATTCCTATCCAACTCTACCTTTGGACAAATCAACCAGCTTTATTTGGATCGCTGCGATTAGTAACTGGTGTTAATTAACGAGCATCAAGTAATGAATAATAAGTGAAAGTCTGAACTTGTAACGAATGGTGGAAGTGAGTTGTTCTTAAAGATCACTTTATATAGCCTGGCGTTAGAGAATAGTTCTCGTAACAATTTGTCTTGTAGACGTTCCTGAATCTCTCGGTACGATATCAAATACTTGTTTAGTTGTTTGAGTAGCGGGGGTCCTTGTTGCTTGCATTCCGCAAAGTTCGGCTCCTACAACTTGCTTGTTAACAACTTTCGGTGACTCAATATTCCCGATATCGAAAGAAAAGCTCGCGAAACTTTCTACTTAATCAATTCATTACCATTCCGGAAGCAACTCGACCACAAATCAATAATATTTCGTACTTTAAACTCGGTGAATCTGACAGAACTAATCATAATTGTATCAATTTAGAATTTCATCGATGACAATCAGATATTTTTCAAACGATCGATTTTTTAAACCGCGTTGCAGCAGGAAACTTGCAAAAACACGGAATCGGTTCCATTTTTCTACAAAAAAAAAAACATAAAAAAAAGAATCGAGGGCAAAGTCAGTTTTAGTTTACCAAACTTATGGAATGATAATAACATTCAATTTGGATGCAAACTTGATTAGAATGCTTTGCTCCAGTTGAAAGTTAAGTGTCACCTTCGTGTACTAAGCACAGCATCGCTAATAATTGTACGAACGTACCTTTTGTGTCTTCGAATATATGGTATTAATGAGATAGTGGTAATAAACGTGTTAATATCGATACAAGGGTTATTTGTACGTTGTATTAATTTCGTTATCCGTTGTACGAGTGTCAAGGATGCGCGAAAATCGGTCGTCGAACTTCGACACGGTTCGCCAGGTCCAATTTAGGTTCGTCCGCGAAAGCAGCCGGCGGTCAAACTTGGAATTTACATTCAGGTAAATTGGAGTGCGGCATTCAGCACCGGCGTGTTCGGAGCATACTGATAGTAAGACAACGTGTTTTCGACGAGGCGAACGGGCGCTGGTTATCGAACCCCGGTTCCACGTTATTGATATGCTAACTAACTCGAGGCTGCGACATAATTTGCTCTTGTTTCACGCTCCTGGAACTGGTCTCCGTCGGTTCGAATCCGCGCGAAGATAGTGTATTAAGTTGGCGGGAAAGCGTAAGCAAATTAACTCTTCGCGCTCGGTCGAATCTTTAACTGATTAACTCTTGGGGCACCGTTCTCTCTTTTTAATCAACTCACAGCGGTTTTAAATTAAGCGGGACGATAAACTTCTCAAGGCGGGGGCCCCGAACGCCGCGATAAAGATTATTTTATCACAATGGGGATGAAGTATATTTGCATATCGACGCGTTTATCGGCGCTGATTTCGCGGGCATAGCAAAAATGCAATTTTATCGTCCCCGATATATCGGAAATATTCGATAGAAACTGTTTTTTATTCGGGTCTGCTGCATTTTCTGACAAGATTCGCTCGAAATCGCCGTGAAAGAAACAGTGACGTTTATGGAAATTATAGAAAGCACCACCGGGGGACGTAAGGCTTCGTTGAACAGACGACAGACTAACAAGATGAACTCATTACAACTTTGCAACCTTCTTCCAGCACAAAGAAGTTACGTCTCGGTGTCGAGATATACTCAAAGACGGAAGGAAGTACTTATTACCGTTCCTAAAACCGCGAACAGCAAAATTGTTCTTTGAAGTTCCCTAACGAGACGCTGCATCGAACCGTGGATGTCTTCATCGAGGGTTCGCGTTCGTGGATTATTAGCTTACCTCAGGGCTACGCTTTCAATTCGAATAAAGTATCAGAATTCAAAGCAACCGTATAATAAAGAATCACCAATGATCCTCCTTGATCCAGTTTCAAACACGCCGTTAAGATAAAAAATTATTTCTGTATACGATGAAAGGAATACACGCGTTTTGACAGCGTGTTTCGATATTTTGCTAATTATTACACGAATTCAGTCTGCAAAATACGAGCGATTCGGTTAGACAACTCGGTCGATCTGCAATTGCAAACTTATGCCAATTCTCCTAAGTAAACGGAGCGTACGTTTCATTTCGAAGCACGAAATTATTAGATTTCCGAATGTGGTTATTGATTTCACCTGACTTCGCGGTGGAGGCCCCTTCATTCGACAAAGGGCAATCTATTTTAAAGTGTGTCAAACTCGACAGAATCGGGTGATTCTTTTCTGGAAGAAATTTCATCAGAGAAAACAGTTCCAAGATTATTTAATGCGCGCAGAAATACAAACATTCTCCTCTGAAACTTTTTAAATCGCGATGTGTTGGGTTTAGGTATGTGTTGGCGCTCGATGGTGTTAGAAATTGGTGAAAAGAGTGTGTTTGGAACTTGCGTACATTCGCGAGGAAGTAAAATTATTCAACAGGAGAACTTAATCCACGGAACAGGAACGTCCCCGTTCGTTCAGGCCGTGTCGTGCCCGACGATCGTAACTTATCCGCGTGTCGCGCGAGTTTCACGTTAGATTAAGGGCGGAACGTGTGCGTGATGGAAATGATTTTCACGCGGCGGTCCTCGCAAACCCGACGGAAACTCGGACACGACGTGCGCGTCCAAGCTAATGACGGTTCATCGAAATCTACTTAACTCATCGCGGATTGCCGAACTTCGATCTAATAACCGGGAACACGCGAACCCCATCCAACGGCCACCTGGAGATTACATCTTCATCGTGGAACGTTCCAATCGCCAGCCAAAGGGTCGCGGAATATTCATGAAGAATCGTGAAAATCGTATCCATTCGCTCGCCAATTTTCTAAGGAGACGATTCTGCTGAAGGATTTTTCAAAATTTACACTTCCAAGCTGAGTGTATTTCGAGCAATTGGAATAAAAAATTTCTGTAAATAGGTTCCAAATACAGGTTCACGGAATATTCATGAAGAATCGTGAAAATCGTACTAAAATCGCACTAAAATCGTGAAAATCGTACTTTCTACATTCTGCTCAAAGATTTTTCAAAATTTACACTTCCAAGCTGAGTATATTTCGAGCAGTTGCAACACAAAATTTCTGCACTCGGTTCCAAATACACGTTCGCGGAATATTCATGAAAAAGCGTGAAAATCGTAACTGTTTGCTCGCCAATTTTCTAAGGAGACGTTTCTCGCGTATTCTGCCCAAAGATTTTTCAAAATTTACACTTCCAAGCTGAGTGTATTTTGAACAGTTGGAATAAAAAATTTCTGTACACGATTTCAAATACAG